TAGGTGGCCGCTTCATTTGCGTACAGGACAAGGTGCGTATGCGAGCGGCGAGTTGTTGTATTGTAAAATTGCGATAAAGGCGCGGATGTGTTTGTTTAAGTTGCTCATATGTGGCATCACAGTACACGTCATCACCGCTATGTAATGCATGTTTGATGAGAAAAGCATCTTTCTCGTACGTTAATCGGTGTTTAGCGGAAGTGACCAACGACGACGTTGCACTGCTGAAGGATAATGTAGCGCGCCAAACTTGCAGTCTTGTTCTTAGCGCTTGTGGCGGCGGCAGTGGCGGCAAAATGTTTTTGTCGTTGGAATCCGACAGAGATATGGACAGTGTGGGTGCTGGTGCCGGGGCCGGGGCCGGGGCCGGAGCCAAGACCGGAGCCAGAGCCGAAGCCGGTGCTGGCACTGGCTTTGACGGCGGCGGTGGCGGCGGCGAAATGTCTTCGTCGTCGGAATCTAACAGAGATATGGACATTGTGGGTGCTGGCACTGGCGCTGTCGGCGGCGGTGGCGGCGGAATGTCTTTGTCGTCGGAATCCAATAGAGATATGGACAGTGTGGGTGCTGGCGCCGGAGCCGGAGCCGGTGCTGGCGCTGGCGCTGGCGCTGGCGTCAGTGCTGGCGCCGCTGGTGCCGATGTTGGCGTCGTTGGTGGTGCTACCTGCGATATGGTGCGAAGCTCGCGAATAGTTCTGTTAATATGTAGCGGACGCCCAACTCTGATGCTGTGGCGTATTGATGATTTTAAGCGGTGAAGCGCGTTTCGAGCGTCGTCCAAGTCTATATTTGGTACGGTCGATGCGGAAACGTTGTATCAAGTTCGTTTGACAACGGTCCAGCTGTAACTGTTCTCTTGATTGGTATACAACCTGTAGGGAAACAGCTGAACCGTGTCGATAATCCTTTGTTTAAGAGCGCTCGCGACAAGGTGACAAGTGTTTGGCGGAATGCGTATTGTGAGACCCAAAAGTTGGGAAAACGTACGCGGATCGGAGAATATGTTTGTAATTAGTGCTTCCGCGTATGTGGTGTTTGTAATGCGTACAGGACAGGATGCCAAATTAATTTTTTTTTTAAACACTTTTATTAAAAATGTGCGCAACGTGAACGCTGTGTTTATGTCCACAACGTAAGACTGTAGGCTGCTGCTCATAAAATTGGGACGATCCGAATCTTTAACAAAGTGAACAATATACGCCCAAATCGCGTGCATTTCTAAGATATATCGAGCAGCATCGTCCGGATCGTTGCCGGTTGGCGGAATTACCGGTGCGTTGTAAATAAAAGTAAAACAATCAATCCACGGAGAAAGGACAATGTCGTTATATATAGGGCAAGCAATGTGAGCCGTTAATTTGTCGCAATCGTAAGGGAACAAGTTAATTAATAGACTGGATTCGTCGGCGGAATTTTTCTCGTTCCTCCCGGTATACATTTGTTGTACAAATCGAAAATTCAATTTAGGGTCTTGCCCGTGAGCAAAGAATAATACTCTATACTCGGCCCGAGTCGCGGTGCGCACGATTTGTTTGGGAACGGAAGGAGAGAAACAATTATTGTCGCCAAAAGTCAACGTAAAAAATCCGGTTGCGTTAAGCTGTTAAGAAACCGAAGTTTGTTATCAACAGATCTGATTGCATGGGTGATCCAAATTGTAAATTTATACAACAACTTCTTNTCGATAAGAAGATTGTAAAGAATTGTTTGCTCTTCGGTGTGAAATACGCCCAACTGATCAATTGTTTCACAAAAGTTTGGATGTCTGTTTTGATCGATCGTAAGAACTTCTTTTAGTCGCAATACNATGCGCTTTACGCAATAANCATTAATAAAANNTATTAGATTCTTAACGCGTTGCTCAGTAATTTGTTTATATTTAGCGACTTTGGCCGCTGTGCCGCCGCCCTCCGTATGGAGGAATTGATGGCACATGGTATATATTGCGAGCAACTCTTGATTGTCGGCTCTGGCCATTTTGGCTGCCGAATTGTACACCTGTGCGAATGTTATCATTTGATTATGANGGGGGCGTTCTCCTAACAAGGCATAGGCGTAGAACCCGCCGTAATTGTGTAAGAATCCGTGTTTAAACTTTGTTAATTTAGAATAATACGGCCGAACATTGGCAAACAATCGAGAGTTGGTTAAATAACGCGCATCCACCCTGGCCAATATTGCTACATCGTCGGGCGGCTTGAGTTCATCCGCACGGTGAAACTGTACCACGTCCACGTGCGGATGAACATTGTCGACAATCTGCCGGTAAAGTTGAGCAGCCTTAGGCTTGGCCAACTTGAGGCCGTGCACGGCTTGAACGAAGCGAACGTATGAGATTCCGCAGCGAACGGATAACTGCGGGAACGAGCGCAAATGTTGCGTGACAGACGTAGCAAACGCGGGCCAATTGACGGCAAATATTTTATATTTGCCCGGAGTGTCGGCTATTGCGCATCGGACGCCCAACTTTGTGCTCTTGGACAACGGTGGCAGATCAGTAGCAGCTGCGAGAACATATTCTTGAAAAACCGTTTTGCGTATTTGCGCCAATTCTGTAGCGTCGTTGTCTAAATCCTCACGCGTGAAGAATTGCGACAACGGATCGTATTGGAGTACGACATACAAGGGCATGTTGTCCAAGTAGCCGAGTTCGAATTCGAACCACAGTCTATTGGCTTGTACACGTTCAGTTTCGACGACGACAGTGTTAGAATTCGATGTTTGGTCGCGAGGACCAAACTTATAGTCTTTTTTATTACAATATTCTACTAGTTTTTTATTTTCGCACCGAGAAATACACGCCGCACTTGTATTAAATTTAAACAATGTGTCGTATATAAACGGTTCCGAGCTGGTGCACGACACAACCAAAGAATCGATATCACTAATTATTTTAATGTCGCCGCCAATTGTGTCCACCTGGATAACGTCGTTGCGTACGAGCGGTCTGAAGTTACGATAATCGGCTATTTTCCAAAATGAAAAAAAGTGAAAAAAGTGAAAAAAAAAAAAAATTTTAATTTCTTCAAACTTTTTGGGATCGACAGAGTCAGAGGACACCCCCGAACAACCGCTACAAATTTTGCTAAAATTGCTTAAATAGTTTCTGAGATACAACTTTTTAAAGTTTCGCAAGCAAAGAGGTGTTGCCACTCGGAGAGCCACAAAACGAATGACAAAACTCACGGTAGCTCCGTTACTGTTAATTTCTCAAAAACCTGTTTCAAACAAAAGTTGTAGATCTCGACGAGATCTATAAGAAGCCAGAATTTCGCTCCTTAATCTTTACTGGTGTAAGAATTAGGAATTTTTAAACTTTGGAAAAAAACAAAACTGAAACTTAAAAAATTTGAAAAATGGTTCAGCCAAAGTTGTAGATCTCAACAAGATCTATCGAAAACGTCTTATAGTTAAACCATCTATCTCAAATATTGCAAAAGTTAGGGAGGTTTGAAAATTGAAATCTTAACAGTCGGAATTTCGAAAAAAGCTTCAGACAAAAGTTGTAGATTCAGACGAGACGAAACGAAAAAGTCCTACGGTCCGACTCTTACTCTCTACTAGTTTAGGAGTTATGAATTTTTGAAAAATGAAAAATGGGAAAAATGGTAAAAAGCGGAATTTAGAAAAAAGCTTCAGACAAAAGTTGCAGCTCTCGACAAGACAAGACGAAAAGGTCGTATGATCGGACCTTCTATCTCAATTAGTTTAAAAGTTGGGATTAAAGGTGAGAATATAGAAAAAAGCTTCAGACAAAAGTTGTAGATCTGGACAAGACGAGACAAAAAAGTTTAATGGTCGGACTCTCTATCTCAACTAGTTTAGAAGTTAGAATCAAAGATGAGAAAATTGAAAAACGCTTTAGACAAAAGTTGTAGATCTCGACAAAAAAAACGAAAAGGTTCTATGGTCGGGCTCTCTATCTCAATAAGTTTAGAAGTTAGGATTAAAGGCGAGTATATTGGAAAAAGCTTTAGACAAAAGTTGGAGATCTCGACGAAGGAAAACGAAAAGGTTCTATGGTCAGACCCTCTATCTCAATTAGTTTAGAAGTTAGGATTAAAGATGAGAATTTTGAAAAAAGCTTCAAACAAAAGGTGTAGATCTCGACAAGACGAGATGAAAAGGTCCTATGGTCGGATTCTCTATCTCAATTAGTTTAGAAGTTAGAATTAAAGGTGAGAATATTGGAAAAAGCTTCAAACAAAAGTCGGAGATCTCGACGAAAGAAAAGGAAAAGGTTCTATGGTCGGACCCTCTATCTCGATTAGTTTAGAAGTTATAATTAAAAGTGAGAAATTTGAAAAAAGTTTCAAACAAAAGGTGGAAACCTCGACAAGACGAGACAAAAAGGTCCTACGGTCCGACTCTTAATCTCCACTAGTTTAGGAGTTATGAATTTTTGAAACATGAAAAATGGGAAAAATGTTAAAAGTCGGAATTTAGAAAAAAGCTTCAGACAAAAGTTGCAGCTCTCGACAAAACGAGACGAAAAGGTTTTATAATCGGACCCTCTATCTCAATTAGTTTAAAAGTTGGGATTAAAGGTGAGAATATTGAAAAAAGCTTCAGACAAAAGTTGTAGATCTCGACGAGACAAGACGAAAAAGTCCTATGGTCGGACTCTATCTCGATTAGTTTAGAAGTTAGGATTAAAGGCGAATATATTGGAAAAAGCTTCAGACAAAAGTTAGAGATCTCGACAAAGGAAAACGAAAAGGTTCTATGGTCGGACTCTCTATCTCGATTAGTTTAGAAGTTAGGATTAAAGGGGAGAATATTGAAAAAAGCTTTAAACAAAAGTTGTAGATCTCGACGAGACAAGACGAAAAGGTCCTATGGTCGGACTCTCTATCTCAATTAGTTTGAAAGTTAGGATTAAAGGTGAGAATATTGGAAAAAGCTTTAGGCAAAAGTTGGAGATCTCGGCGACGGAAAACAAAATGGTTTTATGGTCGGACCCTTTATCTCGATTAGTTTAGAAGTTATGATTAAAGGTGAGAATTTTGAAAAAAGTTTCAGACAAAAGGTGGAGATCTCGACGAGACGAGACAAAAAGCTCCTATGGTCGGACCCTCTATGTCAATTATTTTAGAAGTTCAAAATAAATGTTGGAGTTAGGAAAAAAGCTTGAGACAAAAGTTGTAGATCTGGAGAAGATAAGATTTTTAATCTAGGGTTTTTTGGATAAGTCTCTAGGATCTAGAGAAACGTGGAAATTGCTTGAAACGGCAAATGTGCAATACATCCTATCTAGAGTTTTCTGGATAAGTTCTTAGGATTTACGGATTCATGGAAAGAAATGTAACCGGGTTCANAGGCCGATGGCCCCTGGATCCTTAGACGCAAACCCAGAAACTGTGCGCACGCGGACGTGGTGCCGGGGTGCAGGGGGCGAAGCCCCCGCTCAAGGGGGGCGAAGGGGGGCAAAGCCCCTCCTCTCATAAAACTTAATTACAATTGAGAAAAAAAGTGTCTACCAGAAAATATAAAGATCGTTGGAAATGACGACCCGCGCGATCACAAGAACTCAAAAGAAAAACCGAAGATAATCAAAATTGTGGACGATTCGTTTAAAGAGAGCACGGAGTAGAGCTCGNTAATACGTGAGGAGAGAACTGAAGAGGCATCGCGCGACAAGTCTTTCTCACGAAAGCAAAATCTGTAGCGACTTGAGCCATAAAGAGAGCGCAAAAGAATTCGAGTTGTTCGAGACTNGAGGATTACTCGCAGAGTCATCAGAAGCTGAGGAGGTGAA